TCATTAGAGGAGGTTTTAGAAGAAATTGATAAATTAAACAGCAATAAGTCACCAGGACCAGATGTTCTGTAAGAACTAAAATGTGAACTTGCAGAAGTATTAACTGCAGTCTGTAACCCATCATTTAAATCAGCTTCTGTACCAGATGACTGTAGGATAGGTAATTTGATGCCAATTTTTGAAAAGGGCTCCAGAGGTGATCCTGGCAATTACAGGCCTGTAAGCCTGACTTCAGTAGTGGGAAAACTGGTTGAAACTATAATAAAGAACAATATTATCAGACACATAGATGAACATAATTTGTTGAGGAAGAATCAACATGGTTTTAGTAAAGGGAAATCATGCCTCACCAATCTAGTAGAATTCTTTGAGGAATGGAGAAAGGCAAATGGTGGTGTCCCCGAGGGATCTCTTCTGGGACCAGTCCTATTCAACATATTCATAAATTTTCTGGAAAAAGGGGTAAACAGTGAGGTGGCAAATTTTCAGATAATACAAAATTACTAAAGATAGTTAAGACCCAGGCAAACTGCAAAGAGCTACTAAACAATCTCTCAAAATTGGGTGACTGGGAATAAAATGGCAGATTAAATTTAATGTTGATAAATGCTTATAATACACAGTGGAAAGCATAATCCCAACTCTACATATAAAATGATGGGGTCTAAATTAGCTGTTACCACTCAAGAAAGAGAGTTCAGAGTCATTGTGGATAGTTCTCTGAAAACATCCACTCAATGTGCAGCAGCAGTCAAAAAAGCAAACGGAGTGCTGGGAACAAATTAAGAAAGGGGTAGATAATAGGACTGAAAATATCATCTTGCCTCTATATAAATCCATGGTATGCCCACATCTTGAATACTGTTTGCAGATGTGTTCGCCCCATCTCAAAAAAGATATATTGGAATTGGAAAAGGTTCAGAAAAGGACAACAAAAATGATGAAGGATATGGAACGGCTTATGTATGAGGAGAGATTAGTAAGACTGGGACCTTTCTGCTTAGAAAATAGACGGCTAAGGGGGGGATATGATTGAGGTCCATAAAATAATGACTGGTGTAGAGAAAGTAGATAAGGAAATGGTGTTTACTCCTTCTCATAACACAAGAACTAGGGGTCACCAAATGAAATTAATAAGCAGCAGGTTTAAAACAAATAAAAGAAATTATTTCTTCACACAATGCACAGTCAACCTGTGAAACTCCTTGCCAGAGGATGTTTTGAAGGCCAAGACCATAACAGGTTTCAAAAACAACTAGATAAATTCATGGAGGATAGGTCCATCAATGGCTATTAGCCTTGATGGGCAAGGATGGTGTCCCTCGCCTCTGTTTGACAGAGGCTGGGAATGGGTGACAGGGGATGGATCACTTGATGATTACTTGTTCTGTTCATTCCTCTGGGGCACCTGGCATTGGCCACTGTCAGAAGGCAGGATACAGGGCTAGATGGACCTTTGGTCTGACCCAGTGTGGCCATTTTTATGTTCTTATGTTCCCTTATTCATATGTTGTGAGAAAGAGTAAATATAAATGCCTGATCTACATTCTTTATTGATAGATTCATAGGGCTTAAAGTCAAAAGGGACAATTAGATCATCCAGTCTGACATCCTGTATAACACAGGCCTTTTAATTTCACCATCTTACCCTTGTATTAAGCCCCTTGACTTGTGTTTGACTAAGGCCTGGTCTAAACTAGGATTTTACATCACAGAATCATAGAGCCACAGGATGAGAACGGACCTCAAGGGTCAGCTAGTCTAATTCCCTGCCAAGATGCAGGATTTTTGTGTCTAAGCATCCTAAACAGATGAAAGAGCTTTCATTATTTTCCAAGGCACCTCTTCCATTGTCCTGCTGTGCTTAAAGTTAGGAATTTTGACCTGAGAGTTAATCTAAATTTGCTCTGCTGTAGTTTGAACACATTGCCACTTGTCATGTCCTCTCTTAATCTCCTTTTTTCCAAACTAAACATGACAAGTTCCTTTGGCCTTTGCTGGTATGACTTGCATTCCATCCTTTTGGTCATCTTTGTCACTCTCCTCTTGATTCTCTCCAGTTCCTCTACACCTTTCTATATAGCAGTGAACAAAATTGGACACAGTATTCCTTCTGAGGCCTAACCAGCACTATCACACTCCCATGACTTGCTCTCTCTGCCTCTGCTAATACAACAAACATTGCATTTGCCTTTTTTTTGCAACAGCAGATACATCCACACCCCTGAGAAATGTAGCTATGTCCTCCTAAACCTGGAGTAGACAGCATCAACCTCGCTACCACCTCTAGGGGAGGTAGATTACCTACACTGATGGGAGAACCCCTGTCATTGGTGTAAGTGCTGTCTACACTGAAGTGTTATGGCAAGGCTGCTGTAGCTGTTTAAGTGGTTCTGGAGACATGGGTAGTTGGAGAATTTACCACTTCCCTTTGCAGTTTGTTCCAATTGTTAATCATTCTTAGTGCTAAACATTTGGCCCTCATTTCCAACTGGAATTTCTCTGCATTCAGAATCCAGCCATTAGACCTTGCTCTGCCTTTCTCTGCTAGATTACACAGATCATTTTGCACAATGTTTTTTCACCAATGCCTTGTAGTAATTTTCTATTTGCTTTCAGATCGTTGATGAAAATATTGATTAGCTTCAGCCCTAGAACTAATCCCTGCAGACCACCAATTTGAACACCTCTATTCGCTGGCAATAGCCTGTTGACACCTTCTTTCTGAGATCAGCCAGTTAGTCAGTTTTTAGTCCATTTAAAGTATGCTTTACTGATATTGTAGAGTGTTCATTTTTATCTGAATATTTTCCCCATGAAATGAAATGTCTCAGATACCCTTGATCAACTAAACAAATATTCCCATTAAAGAATGAAATCAGGTTTGTTTGACTAGATCTGTTTACCATAACCCATGTTGTTGATTGACATTAATTATATTCCTAGACTTTTTTGTAATGAATCACATACCGGCTTCTCCACTGTTTCCTAACCTTGGGAATTTTTTTTAAACTTTTCCTTTTTTTAAATAGTTTATTTTAATACAGAACTGTTAGGAATTTGCTTTGTTGTTTTACTCTGCTGCTGCCTGACTGTGTACTTCTGTGTCCGAATGAGATGTGTGACTGCTCTGTCACTTAGTAACTGCCTGATTGCGTACATCTGGTTCTGAATCAGATGTATGGTTGATCAATCAGTTTCTAACTCTCGTGTTTGTAATTCTAAGGTTCTACTGTAGATGCTGTTTAACCCCCTGCTTGACAACTAATGGACTGAAAACGTTTTCATCAGCTCATGTGATATACTGCTTCTTTCCAAATGCAGAACAAAAGTATTTCTTGAAAACATCCACTTTTTCTGTAATATTAACAAGATTCCTTTCTCAATTCAGGAATGGGCACAAACCTTTTCTAGGAATTCTTTTGGTCTTAATATTCTTAATAGGCACCTTTTTGTTATCCTTAGCCCTGCCAAGCATGGACTTTTCCCTGATGTCTTTAATGTTCTTTTTCAATTTTCATAACTTCTAAATTGTATTGCTGATTTCATATTTTTCCGTTTTCCCATTTGTTGTACATTTCTGGTTTCCCGCTAATGGCTGCCTTCACTTTCCACTGAACCAGGTTTTTCTCCTAAGTTCTCTGCTTTCTTGACTCTGGAATTGTGGCTTTTTAGGTATCTAATAATCTTTTCTTAAAGAACCTTTAATATTCATTCCCATTTTACTGTCTGAATATTTCCTTCCTATCAGTTTTGCTGTTACTTTGCCTCAGCTTTGGGGAATTAGCCTTTTTGAGGCACTAAATACTAAGGCTTGGTCTACACTTACCCCCCAAGTCGAAGTAAGGTACGCAAATTCAGCTACGTGAATAACGTAGCTGAAGTCGACATACCTTACTTCGAACTTACCGCGGTTCAGACGCGGTCCACACGCGGCAGGCAGGCTCCCCGTCGACTCCACGGTACTCCTCTCGTTGAGCTGGAGTACCGCAGTCGACGGGGATCACTTCCTGGTTCGATTTATTGCATCCAGACCAGACGCGATAAATCGAACTTGGAACTTCGATCCCCAGCCGCCGAACTAGCGCGGCAGTGTAGACCAGCCCTTATAGTTATTACTGGTTGGGAACTGTTTTTTGTTTGTCAATTTGAATGCAATCAGTTCATTCTTCATTTTGCTCTCCTCTATCATATGCCCCCTTCTTTGACTCTTCTCTAAACTCAACAGTACCACACTTTTCATTCTGTCTGCATACGGCAGCTGCCCCCATTCTCACAGCCTGTCTTAGAACCCCCCTTTCTATCTACTATATCTTTTATAGGGACTGGGTGACCAAAACTGAGCACATGTCCACAGCAGGTTATTCTGCATCCCATTCCTTAGGCATCCAATCATTGTCTTTGTTTGGCCACTTTTGTGAATGAGGAGGTGTTTCCATTGAGTAGCTATCAATGACGTCCAGATATTTTCACTGAGATGTGTTCTATTTGGGATATTTCTGCCTGGCACATGTCTTAGCAAAAGTTCAGATTTTTTCCACTCTGACACTTTGAGCAAGCAGGTGAATGGGGAGCTCCCTACAGCATGGACTCAGTAGCTTGGCTTTCATTCAATTAAGGAACAATGATGGATAACCAGTATCCACACACATGTTTCCTCCTGGTGCCTATTAAGGTTTCCCACACCATGACGTGTAAGAATTATTGACCCATGGAGCACAATCAAGTATGGAATGGCATTATTAGAGTCAATTATTCAGAATTCATATATCCGAATAAAGAAAATGTCATTTTCCAGTGTGTGAAGAGTGACCAATTTGATTCACCTGTGAGAACAGCCTCCAGTTGTGCATGTATTGTCTCATAATGGCATTGTCTCTCCGTCCAGGTATTTGTACTGTGACCATCATTCTAGACTCTGCACACATACAGGAAGTCAAGGCAATTTACAGTACATGCAGGCGACACTGTTCTACCTCAGAGTTGGACACCATCTCTCCTACTTCATGTCAGATTCCAACACAACTGACTTCACCAACCCCTCCACCTTCATCCTGCTTGGCATTCCAGGCCTGGAGGCAGCCCATGTCTGGATCTCCATCCCCTTTTGTGTCATGTACACCATAGCCATGTTGGGGAACTCCACCATCCTGTTCATCGTCAAGACAGAGCTGAGGCTGCATGAGCCCATGTACTATTTCCTCTGCATGCTGGCTATCACTGACCTGGTTCTTTCTACATCCACTGTGCCTAAAATGCTGAGCATCTTCTGGTTCAAATCCAGGGAGATAGATTTTAGTTTGTGCCTCACCCAGCTCTACTTTGTTCACTGCTTTATAGCGATGGAGTCTGGAATCGTCTTGGCCATGGCTTTGGATCGCTATGTGGCCATCTGTGATCCCCTGAAATATTCCACTATCCTGACAAACCACATGGTGGCCAAGATTGGTCTGGCTGTGGTGCTGCGTGGCAGCATTCTTGCACTCCCCTATCCCTTCCTGGCAAGGCGGTGGCCATACTGCAGAACCAACATCATCTCCCACACATACTGCGAGCACATAGCCGTGGTGAAGCTGGCCTGCGCAGACGTACGCATCAGTAGTTACTACGGCCTGATTGTGGCATTCTTGGTGATTGGTCTGGATGTGTTTTTTATCGCTGTGTCCTATACACAGATTCTAAGGGCCATCTTCAGCCTCCCGACAAAGGACACCCGGCTCAAGACTTTTGGTACCTGTGGCTCCCACCTCTGTGTCATTTTAGCATTTTATATCCCAGGTCTCTTCTCCTTTCTCACGCATCGGTTTGGCCACAATGTGCCTCCACATTTCCACATTCTCATTGCCAACATGTACATTCTACTACCCTCCATGCTAAACCCCATCATCTATGGGGTGAGGACCAAACAGATCCGAGACAGGCTGCTCTGGCATATTACTCATATTGAATAAAGTTTTCTTCTGGTGCTCTGGCTCTCAGACCAAGCTCCGTGGAGATCTGGCTGGTGACATAGTGCTGTGCTCTCTTCCCTGAATCACTGACCGGAGACATTAAATTCTTTCTTTACCTCATAGTGCTGTATCAACCTGACAATCTGGGGAATCCATCTATGTACAACTCACAGGGTTGCCACATTTCTTATTGCTGGTAACTGGACACCTGAGGCTCCGCACTTTGCCCCACCTGTTCCCCCATGGCCTTGCCCCTGTCACTCAATCCTCTCCTCACTATCCCTATTACTCGCTGGATCGTCTGCATACCCCTCCTTACCCCAGCTGCATCCTACATGTTCCGGGGCTGGAACGGGAGTTTCCGAAGCCTGAGAAGGAGCCTGCCTGCTGGTAGGAGGCAGGCTCAATTGAGCAGGGGTTGATGTGGGTTAAAGACACAGTGTCTCCCCCCACTTTGCTGTAACTGGATACTGACAGATCCCCTTTTCGACTGGACATTCCAGCTAAAAAATCAGGGGGAGGGGTGGTTAGTGGTGTGGGACCCTAGCATCCTGGGGTGGAAGTGATGGGCTGGAGGGTTTAGAATGGATATTAGCATGGGGCTGATGGGGGAGGGGGATCGGGGAATAGATATTAGTATGTATGTGATGGGGGGTGGGACCTGTCTGGGAATGGATGTTAGTGTGGGGTTGACTTGAGGGAGTCTGGAAATGGATATTAGTGTGGGACTGATGGGGGCAGATCTGGGACTGTCTAGTGACATGGAGGACTCACCTCTCTCTCCCCTAGCTCCTGGGGAGTTGGGTGGGGGAAGTCCTATTATCCCAACTTGAGAACAGCTTACTAATCACTTCACAGCATTTCTTATGATTTTCTATTACAGATGACTTTGTACCCTGTTCAGTTAAAACTGACACAGCCCCTTTATATTGTTTTGCCTCCAATTTATACTTTTGTTTTTTCCTACATTTGTGCATTCATATCACGTTCCAATTCCTGACAACTTTGAGTTAAAGCAACCACATGCTTGGCATTGGTTATATTTTGCATCTGAGCAGTTTGCAAATCTCTTCTCTTCCCCTCATTTTTCAATCTCAGTTTCTCCAGCTCCTGTTGCAAAATTTCCTTCTCATGTTTCCAGATCTCATGCTCCTCTGCAAACTTATTCACAGCCTGATACATAATCCAAACAGCAGCATTTGCCATTTATTCCTTTTTAGGAGTGGAAGTGTGTAGCGGGGTGGTTAGCCCGCTCCTGCAGAGGGGTTTAAAACAGCCCTGGCAGAGGGCTGGGGCAAAGGGAAAAGCTACTGGGCTGATTGGGGAAGTAGCCACAGCTGGGCCACGCCCCAATCAGGCCCCAGCTGGCCTGTATAAGAAGGCTGGGAGCCAGATGCTCAGCAGTCTCTCTCTGCCTTCAGAGAGAGAAGGGCCTGGCTACAGTGACCCAGATACAGAGTACCTGGGTGGAGCAGGGCTGGGGAAAGGCTGGGGAGCCCCAGCCTGGAAAGCCCCAGGCTGCGGCCTAGGAGAAGACTAAGGGGTACTGGGGGTTGCAGTGGGCAGCCCAGGGCTAGGCCAAGGCAGCAGGTCTAAACCCCCCTTGCCAGTGATGAGTGGCTGATACTGCAGTCTGCCCCAGGGAGCGGGGGCTAGTTGGTGACTGGCAGTGGCCTAGTGCTGAGGCAAGGTGGGGATAGTGGGTGGGGGTTCCCCAGGGAGGGGACACCCACATCTGTAGGGTATTGCCAGGGGGCAGCACCCAGAGCAAGGAGCACCGGGGTCCTGGGAGGGACACCGGGGCCAGTGCAGAGGATAAGGTGGATCACCGCCCTGTAGAGGGCGCTCCAGAGGCTGGTAAGCTAATTCCCTGGATGATCAGCAGGAGGTGCCGCAGGGGTGAGTCCGGACCTCTACAGAGTGCCACATGTCTATTATTTTAATAACATTGCATTCAACACCCTTCCCTGAAGAGGATAGGTACAGTGTTTGGCAGCCAGGGATCAGAGCCAAGATCTTCACATGACTGTCTAAGTAAACACCCCTCAACCATTACTGGGGGTTTGGGGCATCCCCTTCAGCCCTGGTATGATGACCCCTCACTGTCTGCATTTGCAAAACGCAAGCTATAAATAATATAAGTCAGAACTGATTCAGAACAATATTTAAATTAGTTGGTCAGCACCAGTGATCCAGGATACCAAGCTCTTACTGGGCAACCAGTCCAGAAACAGTATCAGAGGGGTAGCCGTGTTAGTCTGCTGCATCTGACAAAGTGAGTATTCACCCACAAAAGCTTATGCTCCAACACGTCTGTTAGTCTATAAGGTGCCACAGGACTCTTTGTCGCTTAGTCCAGAAACAGTACTGATTCAGTTTAAAGACCTATTCACGTAGACATGTCAGTAAACCATCCTCTGCTATGAAATATTAACACTAAGGGGTGCTACTACCCTGAAATGGGTCTCTAATGGCTCCCAGTGGAGAGGATTACTGTCCTACCAGTGAAAAAGTCCCCAAGAATTATCTGCAATACACAGCATTTTACTGAGAAGGAATTACGCAACTGGTAACGGGTTATATCAAGCACATAACTCCTAAGTTAGACAAAGCTATGCATTAAGAGCTATACATTTCCCTAAATGACCCTCTTTTTCACAGAGATTCACAAGTAGTTCCTGTGCTGGCCCCACGCAGTGCTGCTTGGCAAACAGAGAAAGTGGTTACCAATTTTATATGAGGCTTATTTTCTCTTCATCTGTTCTTCTCAGCCCTCTGGTCTCTCTTGGATTCCCTTGTGGCAAGACTTTGGCTGTGCTGAGACTCCTTTGGTTCACAGTCCTACCCAAGCCCATGGAGTCATGTTTAGCAGCATTGCAAACTTCTTCAAATGTCAAAATTAAGGAATCCCAACCAACCAGTAATGTAATTTGCTTAATTCTTATATTCTTTTCCCTCAAATGAGTCACATGTCTTAAAAGCATGCCCAGTGGCCATGTGGTTACTAATTTTTTCCTAATGAGTATTTTAGAAGTGGCAAGATGGTGTGGCACCATGTCAAGATCACACCGCGTTTACTCACTCATCAATGATTCACTCTGGTTCTCCATGTGACATTCTGCTGCAAGGTCATTATAACCACTCAGTCTGTGCTCCATGCCGGAACTTTATACATGTGATATTTACTTTTACATGCACCCATATTTACCGACAGTAGGTTCAATATTGATCGTACATGCAGGTTTTGCTAGTTCTTCATCAGATTCACTTCTGCTTAAAGTGGACCTGCTCCCAGGATCCTCTGCAGCCATCCAGCCATGTTTAAGTCATGGCAGGTTATACTCGCATCATTCATCCAGTATAGCCACACCAAATTGGCACCATTCCAACAGTAGCAAAGATGAACTTGCCAACCTTGTGAAATGATTGGAAACCTCTGCAAAATATGTCATGGAATCAGTGCAGAGAAAACCAAGCTGATGACAAACAAATGTGACAGGATCAGCTCATATATCACTGTCAGTGGACAAAAGCTGGAGACAGTGAAACAGTTCAAGTGTTTGGGAGCAATCAGCACTAATGAAGGATTAAAGGCAGAAATTCTGGCAAGAACTGCGCAAACAACAGCAGCAGTGGCAAAGCTAAGGCCAATTTGGAGGAACAAGAACATCTCCCTGGAATCCAAATTGAAACAGCTGCATGCACTGGTCATCTCCATTTTTCTGTTTGTGTGCAAGACATGGACCCTTACGACAGAACTTGAACAAAAAATACATAAAATCCTGGGCACCTTCTTCTTCAACCATGTCACTAATGAAGAGGTCCGCAACAACATTACCAAGTGCTCTGGGTCATATTAAGACCTCCTCATGACCATGAAGAAGTGCAAGCTGAAGTGGTACAGCCATGTAACAAGATCATCTGGACTATCCAAGATCATCCTGCAAGGGACAGTACAGGGCAAGAGAAAAAGAGGTAGACAGAAGAAGTGATGGATTGACAACATAAAATAGTTGACAGGAATGGACCTTGAGGAGATTCAAGCACTGACACACGGTCATCAGGGATGGAGACAATTGGTTGATTGCTCATCAGTGATGATGCCACAACGACCAATGCGGTTCTGGGAGTGATGATGATGAGGATGATAAGTTTGCCAAACTTCAAGATTTCCCATGCTGAGTATCTGCTTCAGGCTGAATTGTTTTCGGAAAGTTTCAGGCATACCAATTCAGCTGACTTCTCTAACGAAGCTAGGAGCAAATATGTCTTGACCAAGTTGAAAATGTCTTATAATTATTCCAGTGACGAGCCCTAGCACCTCCATGCTTTCCAGCAGATAAAAGTCAAGTAAGACCCCTCCCCTCAAACAACCAGAGCCCTGAAGTGCAAGAGGAAGAAGTAACAGTGTCTGTACATTAACACACAATTGGCTCCTGAGGTCTTTACACAGTTCGTACTCCAAGGGGACTTTTGCCTCAGTGTGGCTGGAGCAAACTATTGGCCACTGAAATATAGCCATCTTGGGGCGGAGGCCATCAGCCAGAGGGCATAGAAAAGTGGGACATTGTGGCTCATAATACGGGAGGAAACTCATCTCCTGTGGCAAGGGCCCTAAGGTGTTTAATGGCTGTGTAGAGTTGACAGGACCACAGACCTATTATCTATCCCATCATGTGAATATTGCACTGGGTCTGTCAGGCAGGTGAGCTGCTCAGCAAGAGATGGGTACCTGTGAATTTTGAGAAGTGTCTTAAAATAAATAAATGAGATATCCTCTCTCCTAGAACTGGAAGGGTACCTTGAAAGGTCATTGAGTCCAGCCCCCACCTTCACTAGCAGGACCAAGTACTGATTTTTGCCCCAGATCCCTAAGTGGCCCCCTCAAGTATTAAACTCTCAACCCTGGGTTTAGCAAGCCAATGCTCAAACCACTGAGCTATCCCTCCCCCCTTGTGAAAGAAGCTTATTGGAACATCTTTGAGGGTGAGATATTACAT